CATTTACTTGCTAAGCTAATAAACTTGGTGTGTGTAGATTGTAGATGATCAAGAGAATGTATTCCTACATGGATTTGTGTCGTCACAATAAAATGTTCCTTTTTCCCTCATCCACATAGCCATCTTTGAAACAAATGAATTGGTGTTAAAAGATACACACATTAACTCATTCAATTCATATATTTTACCATCTGTTATGATAAAAGCACAGAAAAAAAAAATAAATAAATAAATAAAAAAGAAACATATATAGCTGATTTTTCTGCTCTTTTACTCATTCAAGTTGATACAAAGGATTGGGGCAGGAAAACGAATAGTTCATGAGTTACAATGTGAAAGAATTTCATACAAAGAAATTTTAAAGAAATTATAATGAAACGACAGCTACATGAAAAGGCAAACCGATCGATTTGTGAGAAGAACTTGTCGGCAATAAGTTCAATCAAAGTCGAATGAGCTGGGGCCTAGGGGAAGTAAACGCTAGTCGTTTAATAATAAATATATCAAGTATTTCTAGACTCTTGATGATCCAAGCTTTTGCTCGAAAAGGAGTCGAAGGAGGAAAAATTGAAGGCAACTGACTCCTATGAGGGCCAATGACTCGCAAAACGCCTTGTGAACTGCTCTTTGGCTCATAGCTTCATTCACTGCAAGCAAGCATTCGAGAACAAAAAAAACCATCATCTGATTAGATTTCGCTAAGGTTACTTACACCGAAAATGGAACAAAATACTTGATGATTTTTCATAATTAATTACCGAGCACCTGACGATCAGTCTGTGCCTCTAGCCAATGCTGCTCGAATTGGATGTTGTACAGAGATTCTTCTAACTTAGATATCTGTTCTAGCAAGGGGTTGAAATGCTCTACAAGCATTACAGAAAAAACAAAAAGTAAATAAATAAATATCATATAAATTAAGCCAATGAAAATAATTCACATCATCAACAACTTGCAAAAGAGAAAAAAAAAAAAAAAACAAGAAATCGAAGCACTTGCAGAGAAAGTTTACCGTCTTTTGCATGCTGATCATGGTACGGAAAATGACCGGCAAGAACATCAAAATGAATGGTCTCTTGAAAAGGAGACTTGTTCGTGAAGCAAAACCGGTAGAGACCACTTTTCCCAGCCACAAACTCGTGCTTGTCGCTCGTTTTGTCGTGAAATTCGTGTATCAGCTCGCCCGTAGGGTCCTTTATCTGAACAAAGAACTGGTTTTTACGATTCATGCGTTTAAGCATACATATATAAGTCATCAAGATTCGGGATGAGGAGCGAATTTCTTCTGTGCGAAAATGAAAGAGAATCAAAATTGAGATTCTAAAGTCTAAATCACCCCTCTCTGTAAAGATCACAACAAGATCAAATAAATCAAAGTTCAAATTAAATCAAACCATAACTAGAAAAAATAAAAATAAAAATAAAAATGATAAAAATATTACTGTACCTGGAGATCAACACCTTCATGGCCATAACTCCAAGGAGCATCAGCTTTGATGACGACAAATGAGACATGAATAGTCTCGCCGGAGTAAACCACGTTGTGTGACAAACATTCTTCGTTTTTTATCTCGAATCTTATCCCTAATCCAAATCTCAACTGCATCATCATCAACATTATTAGGATCATCGACATCGTCGTTTTTATCGGCTTTTTCGAGGATGGCCCAAATCTCATATCTGCATGAACCATTTATAATTCAAACACAAACACAGGGGAATAAATCAGATTAAAAAAAGAAAAAAGGCAATGCATGCATTCACGTAAAGAGTAATCTGGATTCATTTAATCTTGATTCATAAGGTTAATAAGACAAGAACATGGAACTTACTGTCGGATTTTGAGGATGAATGTGTTTTTTAGAACATATAGTTGAGATTTCAGGGCAGCGATTCACTTAAAAATAGTTAGTGATGGTCAATTGTATCAGTAAATTACACTAGACTCCCTTAAATAAAGTAAAGGATTTTATTTGCCACCTTCTCTATTTGATGTTTTTATTGCACTTCAGTCCTTTAAACACATGTCATTCATTTATTTGGAATCATCTACACAAGTTTGGAGAAAGTCTTACCATTATTAAACACTAGTGCATAGCGCGTGTGATGCACGGTACACATATATTAATTAAGTCATTTCTATAGGGCTTGTACGTTTTGGCAAAAAATAATAGGGTTGCATCATCAATTTTTCACTTCTTTCAATCAGTGATATTTATTTTAGTCATAACGTTGACATATTAATTAATATATCATTCTGCTTACACGTTATACTAATATAAATTTAATTTTACAATATATATTTATTCATCGATATAAAAAAAAATTATTATTATTCTTGTTCACCATTTAATACTCAATTAACATTTTTTTATAATATTTGTTGTCATATAATGTCATTATTATTATTTATAACAGTTATAGAAGTAGTCTACTTCTTCTTAGTTTATGTAATGAAGTTTAAAATAAAATTTTGTGTATAAATGTTTATAAAATACACACACATGTTTTTTAAATTTTTTTTCTCATAATAATTAAAAAAATTTGATTTAGCAAATTGTCAAATAATAAACCCTTATATAATCAAGAGTTTTTTCTAATTTGCATCCTAAGGTTTTATTAGTTTATTTAACATACTATGCAATATAAATATATATTTTACAATAAATTCATTATGGAAACAAATAAAAATAAAAAACGATAAAATTATCATGGTTGACAATCATATACAAATAAATCAAATATTGAAACTGTAAGAATAGTTAATATATTTTAATTTTATTATTTAGCCGTTAATAAATTATTTAATGATGTGATCATTATCTCTTAAATGGTAAATTATTTTAGTTTAAAGAAATTATTTGTTTATATAATTAAATAAAGGTTAAAAAATATTATCGAAAAATATTATTCACCAACTGGATTTCGGCTAATTAGTTAGAGGAGAATTATTTAACATGTTACGATTGTTTATAAATATTTTAGGATGAAAGTCAACATTTTTGAAAAAAAAAATTAATATTATGGTTAAGACTTAAAATTTGTTTTCATAGTTATGTTGACCAAAATATTATCAACACCAATTATGAAAAATCAAATTATAGTTTATTATAATGAATATCAATAAAAATTGCATATGTTAATAAAATTATTCAAGAAAAAATCTTTTTGATCATATATGATTTGGAAATATGTATATATTAAAACAATTAATGCATATATTTAAAAGTTTCCAAATAAAGTATGCATTAAATGTTCATTGACTTTTTTGCTACTATTTTTAGTAAATAGTAATTCTTTTTATATATATATAGATAGATATAGATATAGATTGAGTTAATCTCAAGCATGCTTATAGTTTTCTCGAGCAGAGTCCAAGAACATTTTACATGGCTCATCTGAGTTTGAGCTCCAACAGGCCNACAGTTCGGCAAAAAAAAAAAAACGATCTTTATGAATAAACTCCATACTAATAATTTGAATAGAACACATGAGGCTTGACTATCTTTAAATATAAAACTAACATGAATACCAATAAAATAAATCTATCTATTCTCAAAGACACCTCCATTGACATGTTGGAAGATTACAAATCAAAAGCCACGTACAGTATTTGTATACATAAAATTCACAATAAGGTTCAGTAGAAGAATTAACCAAGAAAAATATCATTATCTTGTTAAGCTCTAAACACTAAGCATTCACTTGAGATATTCGAATCATTCTTTAAGTTCCTCAAAAAATTGTGAGCTGCAGCTACCCTCGATTCTTCAACTTCCATCCACTTGTCCTTGAGAAGCTAGATGTGCCATATATTGCTGCCAAAAGTGAAACCAATGATGTCAGATCAACGATAAACTCTTTTAAAAAATATCAGCTTTCATTCCCAATTAAATTTCCCTGATTGTGAAGGCAGTTGAATATAAGCCACTATCGTATGAAATAGAACAGCCTGAATTTTCAAGAATCGCCAAAACATGTTACCAAAAAGTAATTATATCATCTTAGTTTGTGTTGCATAAGCCACAATGCTATTCATAATCTTGTATCGTTAATCATTTTCTGCTAGTTAAAAATTGAGGTATTAAGTTGGCGCTTTTTACACTTCCTCTAGAGAATACATTTGAAAAAAACATCTTTTAATTTTCGCAATGCACCAAGGTATCATGTCCAAACTATAGCCAAAGAACAATAAAATCATGTTAACTTACTGCATGATAGGCGTATGGTGATTTTCCTTGACGCTCAAAATGTTTGGCCAAGATGCTCCATTCAATTGGCCCCCAGTCTTCCACTTCAAAGCAATTGCCAAGTGCAGCTTTATATAGCTACCAAATATATTAAAATCACAATTAGCCAAATTTCAAGCTATGTAAAAGAGCTTTAGTTGTTCAAGGCATATCGCACAGTATGCACAGCACTAAAAATCAGTTCACTTCAAATAGAAGCGAAATATAATATTTAACAAATTCAAAATCAGCTGCCAACAGGTAAGTTTAATCCAATTTAACAAGCAAACAAAAACACTAAAGGCCTCAAGAGGGTTAGGCAACATCAAAAACCTACAGCCGATAAACTTTACTTTTAGTTGGTTTTCGGCTAAGCCATTTACAATTACCTTAAAACAAGTTGGGAAGTAATTTAAGTCAAATTTGTTTCTTTTTCTTTCTCACCACGTAGTGCACATACCTTTGCTTGGTCAGCAAGAAGTTCAGTTCCAGCAGGAAGAGATGCATAGAACTGGTCAGCTCTTGAATATCCGGCTCTATTCCTGTATAGAATTAAAATAAAAGTTCAGAAAATTGATACTATATATATATTTTCATCAACTTCACACAAAGTCTCTCCTTTCCAGTTTTGGGTAACGAAAATAAAAAAGTTATTCAACTATCAAACTAAGCCACACTGAAAAGCAAACAATAAGTTCCGGCACAAGCAAGTTCTACAGATTGAAGGAATAGAACAAAGTTCCACTTGGCCCTATTTTTGTTTTCCACACAAGATTATCGAAAATTATTCGGGTTATTCAATTAGGAAACAAAACAACATTTCGTAGACTACAAGTACGCAGGATTTGGAAAATGAAGCGATTAATCAATCAAGATATGAATCTAACCTGAACACCTGCTAAAAAATAAATGAACTTTTCATCAGAAAATCAATCACTTCTTCCTGATACAATAATGGCCTTCAAAACTTACGTATTGTTAGTGAAGACATAGCTGATGAGCGCAGTAAAACAGAAGAACCCTGTATAAGACACCAGTCTCCGAAACTTCTGAATCTTTAGAATCTCAAGCCAGCCATCATAAATCCGCCACATTTTCGATGAACAAAGCAGAAATACAGGACTCACGCGGGCATTCCTAAGACAGACACATATGCAATCCGTTCAAGAATTTCATCGAACATGTAATATGCATTGTGTTTAAAAATAGATAACACGAAGAAGTTTTTCAGCTCGCAATCAATATCTGGGCCGTGTCGAAAAAAAAATTACAAAATTCAGCAGCTCTGAATTTAATAGTGTTACCCTTCACCTGCCGGGTATCTCGCCGGGGCAAATTCCTCCCGCCAAATCGACGGCCAAGTTCACTGTGTACTCTCGTGCGGTGACAACTCCAAATTGGGCTTTATATTGTCATTTAGTCTCGGTTTATTTTGGACAATTGAATCAGTAGAGTCTAGTGGGAGAGGGTTTTCTTTCTGCTGTGTTGATTTAGTTAGGACTTTGTCTCCCTTTCGTTATCTTCCGCCCCGGGTGGATGACCAATTTGTGGTTTAAGAAATGGTTGGGCCCAACTTTAGTCCAATGAGTTTGAATAATTAGAGCCCAAATGTGCATTGTATAAATTTTGAATAATCTATATTGAAAGAGTTGACACAAGTGATTAATGACCTACGTATTTCAATTGAATTAATGACTATAGATCAATTAAAGTAATAGTTAAGGGTAATTTTTTAAAATATACATAAGAAATTTTTGAGTGGAGTGTGGAGCAAAATGATTGAGCTACATAAAATCGTAAAGATGTTTTTATAGATAAACACATAATGAATTTCATCATAAAAATCAGAGAACAATCGAACAGCTATAACCTAAGATTTTTAGTTTAAGTGACGAGCCTTTTAAGGTAAGGCTGAGTTAAGGCAAGGGAAGCGATAACATGAAAGCGGAGAGAGATTGTTCCCAGCATAGATTCTTTGTCAACACCTCGAGCTAGCCTAAGAGTTATGGCTTTGTTTTCTTTCCTACACAAGGTTCTGTCTCGTGTAGTTTGAGTATTAGAAGTGCTCATCAAACATGTGTTAAAATATGATATTGTGGTCTTATAGTCATTTACTCAATATGCATTGGTATGTCATGTTAGCATAATCGGAAAACCAACTTCACGAGTTTTACCAACCTACGTGGGTTCCTACTCAATTTCTTGTTTCATATTTCTTAACTTATGTCCATATCCATTGTGACGAATGAGCCAATACAAGTTTAAATTTGATTCGTTTCATAATGAGTAGAACTTGAGTATTAACAATATATATATATATATATATATTTCGAATCTTATCAAGCTAAGCTCCGGTCATTGACGAGTTTTGAACTAGCTTGAACTCGACTCGTTTATAAAATGAGTCAAGCCGAGCTCATGAACCCTTCGTTTTCTTTAATAATTATAGTTATCGTTTACATTACATATTGATATTGTTAAAAATAAGAACATTCAAAACAAGGAAATACGGTTATGGTTGGTAAACTAGCTAATAGCTGATAAGTTAACTTGTAGCTTATTACTTATAGCTAAAAAGCTAGTTTTTATGATAAAAGTGTTTGATAAAATTAGCTTATAAACTAGTTGAAATAAAAAATTCAATTAACTTATTTGAAAAGCTAACTAAAGAAGCTTATGAGATAAGCTCGAACTTTTCAAAAAAATTCGTTCTACCAAACGAGTCTTATTTAAATACATGAAGTTTATAAGCTAGTCAAATAAACTACATGCTAGCTTATTTGACTATTAAATATAGCTAACCAAATAAGTTATATACTAGCTTATTTGACTACCAAACATAGCCAAGAGTGGTCAATCCATAAACTAATAAACAATAATAATAATAATAATAATAATATCTGAAAATTAGCATTTTGCAATCCAATTAGGTTTTGATTTTCAATTTTGCGTCAATCGGCTTACAAAAACCCTTTACCCGAAATCTCATTTTCTCTTCTTTCCCCCAAAACACAAAATCACACACAGAAAACCTTCAGCCCCTCTCCTCCTCCCCTCATTCTCGCTTGCTCGAGCAGACACAGCTCTTCTTTCTGCATAATACTCCTTATTGCATTATCATTTTGGCGTATATTCTGGTTTATCGACCCGGGTTGCTGTTTATATATACACGCAGAGTGTGTATACATATATACAGAGGAGGGCGTTGGGGTTATTGCAGGAAAAAAAGATGAGCAGTGGAGTTAAGGGAGTTGGGAGTAGGGTTTCGATTCCAAACGGTGTCAAGAAGATGATCAATAATATAAAGGAAATTACTGGGCAGAATCACAGTGAAGATGAGATTTATGCAATGCTCAAGGAGTGCAACATGGATCCCAACGAAACTACCCAGAAGCTTTTACTTCTCGGTCAATTTTCTCACTCTAAATCGGTCTTTTGTCCCTTTATTCCTCTTCTTTCTGGGTCATACTTTTTGGGGGTGTGTTCATGCGGTGTTTGATCTCGATTTTCTTTTTGATCTGTGCTCGTTGACTCTAAACTGCTGGTATACTTGTGATGAGTTGGGAGTTTTGAGACTGCTGCGAGTTTCTCTCTGTTACTTAAGAAGCTGCTTTGTTATCAAAAGGGTGGCATTAATTGTTCTTATGCAGCTCACTGAGCTAGGTCTAATCGCACCTTCAGCCTTGAGGGTTCCATTTCAATGCATTTTTATAATCTGTGTGCGTATTGTGGAGAAATTTATTTTTGATAGAGATATGGTTTGTATATAAATTTGTGGGAGTTTAAAACTCACCAGTATTTCAATCTATTTGCTTGGTTTTGGGGTTGAGGGTGGTGGCTGGAGGTTTTAAATGTAAAATTTTCAGCCTGCCTTCCTGGTGGAGCCATAAAAGATTCCAGGACTAGGAACTTCTTTCTCCATAGTTAACAAGCAAGGGAAATTGTTATAGCTGGATTGTTCATGGAAGATCTCCCAATAGTTCTCTAATAACACAAGACATTTAGATTGATTTATAATCTATCTCCCTGGATAGTCATTCTTTGATATAGTTGTAATTATCTTTAACCTGTTTTAAGTGTGGAACAATATGTTCTTTGTGTGCATTGATGTCTCTCATATTAGGCTTATTTATCATATTTTGGATGATTGTTTCTGCATGGCAAGCTGACAAGTATTTTTGTCTTATACAGATACATTCCATGAAGTCAAAAGAAAACGTGATAGGAGAAAAGAGGTACTGCTAATTTCATTTGAATCCACTGTCTTTTATACCTTATTAATAATAAATTATCTCACTCTATTACAGTACAAAATAGGAGAATCATTTCATATTTGTATATTCTTCAGGTGTTAACAATCAATATTAGTTTGTAGTTTGAATTTGAATTGGTTTGCTATTACTATATGTTCTGAAACCCTACACTGGACTGCAACGTAGTTATGAAGAAGAAATGAATCATTATAGAAGGCTACTTTAAGAACCACTTGAATTGATCCGTTAGCCGTGCCATGTGCAATCCTCATGACATGCATCGACCTTTAATGGGCTGATTAAAATTGTGCTCATTTACTCATTTAACTATCAAAATGACAGATTATTCCATGTGTGTTTTGTCCTGCCTTCTGTCTTCATTGCGGTATCCTCTAGCCTCTAGTATCTGTGTGCTCCTCAAGATTCCGTCATCTATACTAAAGATAATTTGAACATAACTACAATTATATTACTGCATCCTTCCAAAAGTTCCATTTATAGGTGAATTGCTTGTTTTTCCCTTGTATTATTTATTTTTCCTTCAATGCATCTTATGGCTGCGTATCATTACTATTGTAATTTAGTTTCATTTTCATAACTTATCTTCCTAGGTTTATTTTTATTTTCTTTTTTTTTAAGTCTTTTATTATTCTCCTTAAGCAGGTCTTGACTGGTTCGAATTCTGCCTATACTTCTCAGAATATGTCTAAGGAGCCTGCAGAGTCGAAGTGGAAGCCGGGCCCGCAGGCTCGGGCAAATAGGGGTCGTGGGAACCATCCATCACGATATGTGCCTCAAGGTGAGCCATCTTCTACAGTTGGAAAATTGAATGGCTTATATTGATTGTATTATCATTTATGTATGATGCTTTGGATTATGTTAAATGTATTGTGGAAGTAGTGTTACTATTACGACTTTTATATTCAAAGCTCGTCAAACTTATTATGTTTTCATAAAAGCTGCCTCCCCAGTAAGCAATTCTAAAATGAAATGAAAATGGGTTTTGTGAAAACAGCTTCCGTTGAAAGTTACATCCTTTTTACTCCTATTCATTCTATCATATTGTGTTCTATAACTTATCAGATGCTGGTGTTGGGAGAAATGTGGCTGTTGTAAAGGAAAATGCTGCCAGTCACCTCACTGATAAGGGTACCGGCAAGGTCCCCTTCGCTACTTCACAAGACTTGAGAAAGAATGAAACTTCTTCCTTCGCAAGGTGCGATAGGCTTTTTATGAACATCCCATGTGTGGGGATATTACATCCTGCTCTCTATTTTTTATCGTCAATTATACACTATTAGGATACACCGACTGTCTATATTGGTTTACACCTCTCCCCCCAAACCACTAACGTTGTCTAAAGGTTCTTCTGTTATTTGCAGCCCTGCTACTGTTGCATCCAATGGACCATCTAGTATTACCTCCCAGAGTACCAATGTTATAGACGAGAATCATGGTGAGGGTACAATCACTATTGGTTCCGTTAAGAACACCATTGCTCTGGGGGGGAAGAATATAAAACAGCACCAAATTCTGGATTCGAGCAACAGCTCAGCATCTGGTCCTCCACCACCTGCTGCAGGATCTTATTTGTCTTCTTCAGATATTGTACCATTGTCTTCTTCTCAAGAATTAAAACTCCATAATGCAGTGAACACTATCCAACCTGAATTGGGAACTCAGGATTTCCCCACTGAACAGCTTGATGATAATCTTACCGAGAGCAAAGCAGCTTCTGCGGAAATATGTATGCTAACTGGCTTTCTAATTGTGTACTTATTTCTCATTTGGAAGTGCTTCTCTAACAGCTAATGGGATTTACTTCTTTTGTAATCTGTAATAGCTGCTTTTGAGGTTGGGACTATCTCTTTGGAGCAAAAAGTGCCAAATGAAATCCAGGGAGTCAAGAAGAATCAGCATTCGGGGTCCATGCAGACTTCATCCTCTGCTGTTAGTAGGCCTTCATCTAATTACAACAATAGGTCTCAAGTGATTGGCCCGCAAAAAGGTTTGTAGCTTTATGTGGCAGTTATATTGTTTGACTGCTTTGATTCGCTTTGTCATATAAGTCGAACTTTGTTGCCTTGACAAGCAAATGTTTGACGGTGTGCAGTCTTGGTCGAAGTCCGCCATGGATTTTATGGCTACTCCAAACATTATCAGTTGTTACAAATGATATTTCTTGTAGCTTCTCTAGCTGATTGCTATATAACTGATTCTTTACTGAAGAATATTTCTATACTGGTGGCACATTATCCCTTCTAATTTCATGTAGATTCTATTTTCAGCTAACTCTTGTTTCCAATATTTAGCAAAATGCTGTGTTGTTTACTTCTTGTATTCCATCTACATTAAAATATTAGGAATTAAAGTGACACCTTCTAAGACACTGATGTTGGCCATGGTTTATTGCAAACCTTTGCTGTTATTAAATTTGAAATGCATATTCTCTAGTAACTATTGTTGTTTTGTACCAGTGGGTCCTGGCAAGGAGTGGAAACCTAAATCCACAATTCCCCATATTGGTCAAGGTGGCACTACTACGAGTTCATCGGAGGTTCTTGTGGTATCTGGTGGAAGTCATTCTGAACCACAGACAACTCCCATCCTCACTTCAAAAGAAACCACTTTGGAGCTGCAGAGGAAGTTGGAAGAAACCCATATTTCAGATAGTCAGCATGTGATTATTCCCGATCACCTGCATGTCCCCGAAGTTGAAAAACTTGGATTTTGTTTCGGGAGTTTCGATGCTAGTTTTGGATTGGACATGAACCAAACTGGTATTCCTGGTAGTGAGAAGCCTCCACTAATGTCAGATTCCTCTGATCCCATTGATGGACCAGAGAAGGAGCTACAGTTAAGGTGCCGTTCTCCTCCATAAGTTTCTTTCAATATCTGTCCTGCCAATGTATATATTTTATTGCCAATTGTTCATTTGAAGACCCTCTTTCTCTTCCACTTATTTTCCGTAGTGTAGCATATGTACTTGTCTGGGGCAAAAAGAGAGAAAGATAGAGAATCTCCAATCTACCTGTATGGATTAGTAGAGCTCACATGTATGCTATAGTATAGGTGTATTTCGTAGAAAAATGTAATTTTCAATATTTCTTTTCCATGTTTTCTGTATCTAATCGTTATTCAGTGTTTTCTTTTAAAAAGAAGCATGTCCTCTTGGGCTTTAGCATGAGCCCCCTTTTCCTCACGTTTACCTCGTCCATGCAATATTCATCTGAAACATCTGTGTGCATGTCCTAATATCACTTACGCATACATATAAAATATACGAGATCAGTCAATGGTCAAACAGTATTTAAAATGCACTTATTGCTGACCTTGACTTGTGCCATTTTTTGTTGTTCTTACATATGTCTCTTGTTTAATGTTAGAGAACTTAATCTCCCCTATGATTGCACATTTTATAATTTTTACGTTTATATTTTTCATGGTATCTTTTTATTTTATTTACATCATGCTTTCTGTTTGGTTACAGCAACCAAGATGCATCAGTAGCTGCAGAGGATACTGATGTAAAAGATACTGACGTAAAGTATCCTGACCATCCCCAATCACCTTCACAAGGACCAGAAAACATCCCAACAAGTGAGGTTGAAGTATCGTCGTCCATTAACCCTGATTATAGTGAATCCAAGCCGGAGGTTGCTCCAGGAATTTATCAACATCCTGTGGTTCATACTTCAAACTATAGTTTTGGTTTTATGCCACCAACATTGGGCGGCCAGCTTGCACCTTCAGAAATTTCAGAATCTCAAGCACGGGATGCTTCTCGGATGCCAGGCTTTGTGGTATGTCAATTTTTTTTTTTTTTTTTTTTGAAGATTTTTCCTTGCATTATCCCATACAATGTGTGAAGCCTTTACTTGCTAAATCCTACATAGTACATGCTATTTGTGTGTCGTGGCTGTCAGGGCATCTTCTATATAAGATACAATTCTTGTCATTTATTAGGTTTTGGAGTACTGTATGCATCTTTACATTATTTGTTGTGCTGTGCAGGTGCCTCAATCTTTTGATCCAGCAAGTTATTATGCCCAATTTTATCGTCCTGGCTTGGATAGTGATGGCCGCATTTCCCCTTTCCAGCCTGCAAACAAGTACACGGGGAATGCTGCTTTGGTCTCTGCACAGACTTCTCAGACTCCTCAAGAGGTTCGCTTCCAATGTCTTTCTTCGGTTTCCTCCCTGATTTATGTGTCATGTCTCTGAATTTGGATAACAACTAGACCCTGATCGGAATTACATTGAGGATGTGCTGTTACTGAAGTTAAGGAGACATGTTTGCACTTAATTCACTAGCACTGTGATTTTCTTACCAGAAGTTTCCAGGCTTTATTCCTCTTTTATTGAGCTAGATAAAAGTTTTTATAGAATAACTTTTGAAAGAAAATGGAAACTCAGGGTGTTGTCAGATTGTGGCAATCATTGGTATGGTATTGAAACAACCCAATGTGATGCTATTAGTTGAGTGGTGGAAAGTATGAAAAATAGTGATTAAACTATTGGTATTTGAAATATAAAAAGTGAGCAAACAATGAAATTTGAAATGACAATTTTGTGTGGCTGATGATAGAAAATGTAAAACTGATTGTCTGGAACATTTACCAAATTCTTCCTCCACTACTCATAACTACTAAAAACGTCCAATTATGTTCAGTGTCCCTTAAAGTGATTCTGATCTTGCGCTGAACTGTCATCGAGGATTCTTTTTTTTTTTTTTTTCCTTTTTTTTTTTTTTTTCACTAATTCATTGGATTTGTTTTAGTTGCAGGCTAGTGTCCCTCTAGTTCTGTCTACAGCATCTCAAACACCTCTTGTTACCCAAGCTGCTGGGATCATGCAGAGCACTATGACTGCAACCCAGCAACCCCTTCCAGTTTTTCGCCATCCGACTGGAGTTCATCTGCCCCACTATCCTCCTAACTACATGCCATATGGGCCCTATTTTTCCCCATTCTATGTTCCGCCACCTGCCATTCATCAATTTATGAGTAACGGTGCATTCCCTCAGCAGCCTCAGGCTACCGGCGGTTTGTATCAGTCAGCACCCGGGACAAATGCCAAATCTTCTGTTTCTCAATATAAGCAAGGATCAAACACGGGTAGCTCGGTTCAAATTGGAGTGCCTGGCAATTACGGGCCGTATGGTCTTTCCATGCCCAACTACACGTCGGGGTCAACCACAGCAGCTGTTACTTCAACGTCCAATGAGGATATTGCGGCTCCTCAGGCAAAGGAGAACAATGCCTATGTCAGTGGCCAACAGGTTTGTTTGTTTTGTAAAGATTAAATGATCTGATTTTTTAATTGATGAGCATATATACTAGGATGTCTTGCCTGGACAATTCCTTTGAGTACATTTAGCTAATTTGTCCTTGATTGATAACATGACTGTAAGAATTATATCAATGTAAATATCATATTGTTATAGAAAGTCCATTCCATTGCTAAAGCAGATGGTGATTTTATATCCGTCTAGTTAATTAAAAAAAAAAGGTACTTTTAGAATTACTATTACAAATACACCTATGATCTTAATCGAGTTGCATTCTCAAGGGTGTTAATTGGTATTAAGAGCGTAGGAACCGTAATTACAACTCTCTAAACTAAGTGGATATTCTTCTATCGGAGGTGGAAATTTAAGTAATGGTTTTTGTAACTAATCCTATATTTTAGTCAAATATACATTGTTGGGATATATTCTCATCATTGAACTGCCATAAATTACAGATTCATTGTTGGGGTATTACCGTTGAATTCATGGATGAAGGATATATGTTATACAATTACGGTTTGATACAAGTCTAGCTAGCTAGGGGTGCTTTTGTCTCATCTAATGGGTTTTCTTGAAGATATGTGAAGAATTAATTACTCATTCAGTATCCATATATATTTTTTTTCTTTTTCTTTCTACAGAATGACGGTTCTGGTGTGTGGTACACTGCGCCTGGTCGTGATATTTCAGCCTTACAGGCTAGTTCTTTCTACAACCTTCCTCAGGGACAGCTGGCTTTTGCCCCATCACAGCCGGGCCACGGGCCCTTCTCAGGGGTTTTCCACCCAGCACAGGCAGTGACAACAGCTAATATTCACCCGCTTTTGCAACAACCTCAAGCAATTACAAATAGCCCCGTTGATATGGTGGGACCAACACCCAGCGTTTACCAGCAGCCGCAGCATACACAACTAAACTGGCCGAGTAACTACTGAAGGAGGAGATGTAATTTTTTGCTTTTGATGCTGTGAAAGAAAATTGGGGCCCTTGGTGGGATTTCAGATGAGTTCTGATTTAATGGAGAATTTGGGTGTGCCAAGTGTAAATTTATGGAAGGTGGCCAATGAAATTTGGCTGATATATGTTTTCTTGTGGTCTTCCTGTGACGTGGGAGTCATTTTCTTGTTAAGTCGAGTAAAATGTGGAAAAAAAAATTGTCTTGCTCATCAGAGAGCCCTTTTATAGGTTTTAGCTTCTTCATTGGTCTACCAGATACTTGGGACTTTTTACTTTTGTTGTTTAACTGGGCGTGTTTTCCGTAGATTCCAAAAATTAGAGGTAATATAGGCAGATTCTGAGGTGAGTTTTCTTTAGGTGTTGCCTTCTGTCTGTTTCTGCCCTGTGCGTTTTGGTTTCGTTTCACCTGTTTTTTTGGTTCACCTGTAAAGTGAGAAGTTTTTTGGATAGCAAGGAAGGTTTACTTTGGAACTTTTGTAACTGGCTATGGTCTATTTGCTTGGTTATATTCAATTTTTTTCTGATGGACTAATTGAACTCAAAACCAATAGTATGGTCACTTGTTAGGAACAACAGCTTTGTTTAAACTTCTTTCTTTTTTTTTTTTT